TGCAATTGTAACCATTATTTCAAGTATGTGTACAAAAAACGCTGATGTATATAGCAAATTTAGGTTTATAAATTTGTCGATTTAGATGCTGGAATTTGAACTCATAACAAAACTTCAAGCTAATTAATGTTTTGTGGAAAAAAGGAATTAAAATAATGTAAATTGCAATGACAGATCATTTGCATCAGGCTTGGTTAACACAGTTGAAGTGAATATTATTAGCACAAGCAAAGGCATGTGACATAAGTATTGATATTAGCACAAGCACGCATGTGACATAAGCATTGATATGAATGCAAGCATAAGAAAAAAGGCTGTAGCAGAAGGTTAAAGAAGAAGAAAGAACACGACGTCTTGTTTTAGAGAATTTTTTCAAGAACCTACTTTTTTTAACAGCCTGTATACTGCAAGTTTCTAAGAGTTCCGTCACAAGCTTAGTAACTGGAGGATGGGGTGTCTCATAACTACACGTATATGCATGATATGCCGAGTTAATGAAATCCTTTAAAACAATTGTTTACAGGTTATGACGTATACAAATATGATTCCCTCAATCATAGATCTTGTTATGGACCTGTGTAAGGCATTCATCATATTAGATGTAAGGATGCATTGGAAAATGTTTTTCATGTTCTGCTTGTTTTGTTTTTCTAGTCTTGTAGTTTTTTTAAAAAATGTAACAACACGTACCTTCGTGTGTTCTATGGTGGTAACCTCCGTATTTCTAACTGTGACTATTGTTGCAAACGATGGTACTTTAAATTGAATGGAAAAGAATGTACTCCAACAATTGAAGGTGTCCTCTACATGTGGAAAGGTAAAGGAACACAAAATATTCATCGTCATCGTCATATAGAGGGATATTGTGGAAACATTAACAATGGTACAGTTATTGTTGGATTTTATGTCGGCGATTGCAATCAAGGAAACCCTGGAAATGCAAACAGTGGATGGAATTCAGTTTCTCGAATTTTGATCCAAGAAGTTTCACCACCTCAGACTTAGGTCTGAACATTTTGAAGTCCTTACATCTTGTAAATTTATATTGATATTGCATAAAAAATGAAGGTATACATAAAGGTAGACATAGAGTAAGACATAAGTGTAGACATATAAGGGTAGATAAACACGAAGAAAGACACAAAGGTAGATTGACATAAAGATAAATATAGGTTGACATCAAGTAGATATAAAAATAAACATTATAACATAATGGAGATGGGTAGAAATTGTGTGAAATAGTCACAAATATTATAAACAGTTCTTACTTAAGAAATTTTTTTAAATAATCTACTTGATTGAAAAGCAAAATACAAAACATAGAATAAGTGTGCTTTATGGTAAAAAGATTATAAATGGTGTACGCGTTGCTGGAAAAATTCAAAATGGGATGTTGTGATTAAGAATAAGGTTATACGTGAAGGAAATAGTAACGAAAAATGTGATCACTTGAACAGGAAAAATGTTATATTTGTCAAAGCTTAAGTAAAGTGTTAATATCAGTGTCAGTGTTCGTCAAAGTGCTGGTGTTTTCTTAGTGTTGATGTTGGTCTTTGTGTAAGAGTTACTGTTTTTTTACTATTTTGGTTTAGTCTTACTATTTTAGTATTGTAATTTCTTAAAGTATGTTTTAAGTTTTATTTTTATGTATTTATACAGCTATTTCGTTGATGACAGTGTTCTGTACTGAAGAAAAATACTGTATAAATATTATATAATTATAATAATAATAATAATAATACTAGTCGTGATGTGTTGACACCCATAGTGTTTGTGTTAGTTAATGCTAGTATATTTCTCGCATTAGAAAACTGGTGGAAAACAGAAAGGAAAAATGGGTGGAGAGAAAAAGGAGAACATGAGATGGAGGACGCTTGATGAGAAAAGAGGGAAGAGAAAAGAGAAAGGAGAGAGGAGGGAGAACAATAGAAAGGAGAGAAGAAGGAGAGAGAGAAAGGAGAGAAGAGGGAGAGAGAGGAAGGAGAGAAGGGAGAGAGAAAGGAGAGAAGAGGAGAGAGAGAAAGGAGAGAAGGGAGAGAGAGGAGAGAAGAGGGAGAGAGAAGGGAGGAGAGAGAGAGAAAGGAGAGAAGAAGGAGAGAGAGAAAGGAGAGAAGAGAGAGAAAGGAGAGAAGAAGGAGAAGAGAAAAGAGAGAAGGGTGAGAGAGAAAGGAGAGAAGAAGGAGAAGAGAAAAGGAGAGAGGAGAGAAAGAGAAAAGAGAGAAGGGAGCAGAGAGAGGAAAGGAGAGGAAGAATGGACACATTTAACGATGATCCTTACATGCCTCTGACCTTAACACTTTATCCTTCCACTTTATCCACTTCGATTATTCACATCTTCCTTCACCTTTATCCTTTCCACACTCTCATCTTCCACATTTATTCATTTTGTCACATTTCTCATCATTCATTTCTGCAACACTCACATCCTTAACATTTCATATTCTCACCTCCTCATATACCTTCATATCGTCCACAAGCAATTGTACCGAGCTCACTCAGTGTACCCCCTACATTGTACTGACATTGCTTAGTCCTCCTCCTTCTACTTAACACTGACCAACCACTCCATCCCGAAGGTAAATAACTTTATGTCTTATCATGCAGGGGTTTTCAGTTCATAAAATACTGGAATTCTGTTGTGCATCTTTTCTTGGAACTTATTCTATATATCTTTGGCGACTCATTCAATCTATGGTAAAAACAAATGTGAATAGCCAATGTAAATAGTTTATAATATTGGTCATAAATTAAGAAGTTTAGCAAATTCTAAAGTTTTTGATACTTTTTACTAATTATTACAGGAATTTGCATCACAATCCATCTATTTCGCATCACAATCCATCTATTTCGCATCACAACAAATCCAATGAATCTATGACATTGCTCAAAAACCACTTACCGCCTTTGACGACGAATTTGACATTGACCTAGTAATTATTTTTCTGTATCACACAGCTGGATTGCTAGCTATCAACAATGACAAATGTTTAGGAAAGGAGTTCTCGATAACAACATTGGCATACGTAGTTAGCATGAGCTTTTCTCTTCTTTGTAAGGACAAGTCAATAGGGGACCCTATTTTTTTGTCTGAAAAGTTAATGATATTATATATCACACATAATTCCAATGATCATTTACAAATATTTAACAAAATACCAATATGATTTGATGAAAAGTAGCGACAAAACTACGACGTTAGTATTGTAAGAAAACACGAAATTTTGACGTACGTGAACTTATTCAAACATAAATTGAAGTCTAAACGTTTTGCATGATTTCTTAAGCATCAGAATGACTCTCAGTTAAGTTGTAATTAAATCTGCTTAACTTCACAAACGCAATGAAAACATTAGTGAGCTCAAGTTATTTAAATTTATCTTCCAAAGAGACAATATAGCTGTATAAAGGTTATGAACTTTAGAATAGGCAATAAAATAGGATTTACTTAAACATGTACAATATTTTATATTAATCATGTCTATAAAAAAGATAAAAATAGACACGGCATGGGTTCCATCTAAATTTCTTCCTCTTTAAGCGAATTGATATCTCGTTTATGTCAATTCTCTTTCAATCAAAAAACGTGATTGATTGTTATTTTATAACGTATTTTTTCATTGCAATACAATACACACTGTCGTTTTAAAAAATAATTATATTCGAAAAAATCTATTCTATGAAACGCTTTAAATGTATATGATGACATCTGAAAATAGAAAGTGATATTCACCACAGCTGGTGGTGTTGACAAATTCATGAGGTGCTTTGCGTCATTTGCCAAAATGAAGACGAAAACAGGATCGTATATCACTTTAAATTCTCGGTCAAGTTCAATTTCTTTAGTCATATTGGTTTCTACATTACAAGATCATGAGGACCTTTGCTCTCTTAGCGATTTTTGGTAGCGTTTTTCTCGATGGAAATGTCATATCTCAAGTATATGCAACTGCTGAACCATTTACTCGTGCATGTACTGAGCTCTGAGTGTTTGTTATAGGCTGTTACCTATAAATATTTAAATATATAGATCTACTCATGGCAAATATTCAAGAAAAGGTTATCAAACTGCTCATCTTTCTATTCAAAAAGGATTTCTTATCAAAACGATTGTATTTCAATCAGCGACAACATTTTGCTTGCCTAAGATGAGAGCAAGACTAATCCAGATGTTTTTATTTATACACAATTCTGAAATCATTCTTGTCATAGTATTAGTTATGTCTGAATGGCGTGTACCCATATAATTTATGATGTTTACTGCAGTTGTGTTGTCATACAGTATTCTTATGAGCGTGATCTCAATATGCTTTGCAAAGGCGTGTAGACCTCGTTAGATAGCTAACATTTCTAAATAGTCAATGTTGTTTGTAGACTCGGATTTTTCCATGTACCACTTGTGAATGTTCCTTGATGCCATGCCTCCCACCCCGAGAGGAAAGCATCAGTAGTAATTGCGTACTGGTGTTTCTTCCTAAAAATTTCTGAAATAAATTTTCAGCATTAAAAACCCACCAGTGTAATTCTGTTCGTGCACCCCGTGCTATTTTCATATTGTTATATCACAATTCCCTTTCGCATCCTTCAAGGCTTTAGTTTTATCGTTTTTTAACTCTGTGTTCATATTGCATAAAAGTAATCAAAGTGAAAAATAGGTAATCTATGTTGCTGTATGAGAAAAACATGCTGAACATATAATTATATTTATATATATTAGAAAACGTGCAGCCCTAACGTGAATTGTGGCTTCTGGAATTCGAAGTGCCGCCAAAGATTACTTAAGCTATACATACAAAAGAAAACACTCGAAGCACAACTAGCAAAAACACAAAACATGTTAAAAACTATTGAAAAACATTTGACAAGGCTTTCAAAAAATGTCAAAAACTAACAGGAATAAAACAAAGCTCAAAGGAGATACAAGAGAAGGACTGTGCAGATCTGTACAAAAAAGGTGAAAAAAAGAACGTGTTTATCAAATTAATCCAGATGGCCAGGGTTACTTTAAGGTTTTCTGTGATATGACGTCATCTGTTGGAGGTTGGACTGTGTTTCAACGACGTCAAGATGGAAGTGTAAACTTCTATCGAGGTTGGAAAGAGTATAAACAAGGTTTGGTGATCTGAAAGGCGAATTCTGGCTTGGATTGGAGAAAATATACCGACTAACATCTGCAAGGCAAAATAAACTTCGTGTAGACCTGTGAGAGTGGTCAGGAAACAAAACATATGCTGAATATGATTATTTTGCTGCAAAGAACGAAAATGAAAAATATCAATTGAGTCTTGGAAAATATTCTGGTAATTCAATAGGCAAATACGAACAATAAAAGCACACAAAATTCTAAAGGTTAATATGATAAAAATTATATCAGCATTAAGTTAAAATGCCTTGGATGCTTGGAGTTTGCATGAACTGATTTACCTTTTTCGGTAAATATATGTCATAAGAACAATATATTGTTTAAACTTATAAAATATAACAAACAAACAACCCCATTGATAAATCAAAAATTATTTTGTCGTGTGAATACAGTTTTGAAAATACCAGTAGAACAACTAAATTACAAACTGCAACAACTAATCCTGGACAGGCAATACTAAAGAGATATTCAAGGATAAAGACTAATTTACTCATTAAAATAAATTACAAATTCAGCTTTAGCTTTGTGTACATCAAATTATGAGCAAGGGTTTGAACATATTTTTATATGAAAACACAGGTGAATTTGGTATATTAGTTTAAATATTTCTCTACATAATCAAACAACTAAACGATGAGAAACATGTTAGTGCGAAAAGAACATCTTTATTGTAAATATCTTTGTCAATTGTCCATTGAATAAACCTTAATATTACACAAGCATTCAAGTAAGACTGTAGTAGCAAAATGTAATGCGTTATAAAAGATTTTTCTGTTAACTGTGTGTTCTCTTGAACACAATTATCGCCATTTAGGAACTGCTGGGGACTCATTATCCGCCCATAAAAACAAAGCGTTTACGACAAAAGATTCAGATAACGATACAGATGTTGAAGGAAACTGCGCTGTACATGCTAAAGGTGCTTGGTGGTATTATTTTTGTTATGATTCCAACCTAAATGGGTATTATTATCATGGAAATTATCAACCTTCTGCATCTTGGTACAAAGGTGTTGTTTGGAAAGATTGGAAAGGATTTTCGTATTCTTTAAAATTCACTGAAATGAAAATGAAACCATCAGGAAATTTTTAATAAAGTGACGATTTCATGACTATAATGAATATATCTGTAGTGAACATTATGTATTTTGCCGTAGAATTTGTTACTTATAGTCTTTACAATAAAATTAATCTCTACAGTCTTTATTCGTGTTGATTGATTGGCAGATGGATTTTATTTGACTTGGTATAGTATTTACTGAAACCGTGTCGCAAAAAGCAACCAACTTCAGCTCGCTCTTGTGCATAACTAAAATTACTAAATAAGTTTCGTGATTTTTACCATAGTGAAATACCAGTATCTGAGCTTTCAAATGTTGCGTGTTTGTATCAAAATATAAATTTCCTTTCTATCTCCTTGAAGAAGAAAAGCAGCTGCACCTGTCTATGATTTCTTACATTTTGACTTATATCCGTTTTAGTGTTTAAAATGCTGAATAATTTGATAATAATTAAATTGATAATAATTAAAATATTAGCTACTAATAATAATAATATTAATTAAATAAATTTGAATAATTTTGTTTAATTTTTTACTGCCTTCAGAATATTTGCAAACCGTTGAGCTTTTTAAGCAATGTAGCTATGTATAAAAAAGTGAAAGGTTGCTAGCGGTAACTCGATGGCAATTGTTGGTATGTTATTGGTAACCTGTTGAGATATTTGTAACACGGGCGTTTTAGGCAACTCGTTGTTGCCATTGGTAATTAAGTCGTTTGTAGGTTAAAGATAGTTTGATGAAACTGAACGTAGTTGCCATCTAGCGTACAATCGAGAGTTTGGGATGATGACCGTGGACCAATGAAAATACGAATGATTCCAGTTAGGCGAACCAGAACGCCATCAGGGTAGTGTTATTCATATTCAGTTTTGCTCTTCTGATTTCTTTTGAAATGCAAATCACCAAATCAGCGGAATATATGAATATGCACCCCACCAATTAACGTTCTAGTTACGCCACTGATTCCAACCATGTTGAAGACGATAAAAGCTTTATAGCTCTGGCGAAGACGAGGCTCCAATACCAAAACAATCGAGTAACAGCACCGAGTCTTCTGGAGATATTGTTCAAAAGAAATATCGATGAATCATATTTACACTTTCAAAGGTCGTTGGCTCAAGTGGTATATAGTAGTGGGAATTGTTCATGATCTTGCTAAAGACATGAAAAAATACATACCAGTGTCTTTGCTTTAGGACAATAAATCTGATTTCGAAAGTGAAGAGGAAGCAATCACCACAAGAGATTTGCAATAAGATTCAAAGTGTTCTCTGCAAAATTTTTATATACGGATGGAGTGCTATGAGAAGAGTACTATAAGTAATGTCATTGACGAGGAATT